TCCGTTATGGGCGTTGGCCATCAGGAGGGAAACGTATGTGGAGTTTGTATGCTTCGGATCTGTCGAAGAACTCCCCGAATTCTGACTAATCTCCCCTTTTATTTCAAAATTTCGTCCAATCATCGTCCAGTAACTCTTTCGTGAGAACGGACGAAAGGGGGATGAACGAGGGGTAACCATTTCCCATCTGAGCGAGATTTTTAACCAGATACGGAAAAACAGAGGATGTTCTCTTCGATGAAAGGAAATAACATTTGTTATCTGGTTTTTCCCACGTCTAAAACAATATTTTTTTCACAAAACGAAGTAATATTTCGTGTCTATATTTAAACATATTTAATAAAAATTCACAAATTAGACCCAGGGCCTTTCGGATCTCACATTAAGCTATCTCCTATTTTCACATATTAAAATGTTGCATTTTTGTCTTAACGTAATAAAAATATTTTTATTAAACATTCACTATCAGTGCATGCCGAATGTCGACATTTGCCGGTGTAAGTGAGAAATAATGATATTTACCAAATATTTCGTACATACACGAAAAGACTGTGTGAATGCTGACATTCACCGGAGAATGTTGACATTCGCCAGATATCGATCATTCACAGTAACATTAATGCTCCTGAATATCTCTTCTTTAAACATTAAAAATATTGTAAAAGTAACGCGAGTATAAAAATAATAATTCTTTAAACGAAATAAAAAGTTCTGCTCGGCGCCTGGATGGCCGAGGCGTTAAAGGAGTTGGTCATCCTTTCTAGGAATCCGGAATCGAATCCGGGAGGAGAATACCAAGAATATTTCACGGGCGGTCTTCTCGAATTCTAACAGATAATTTTTCCCATTTTTTCGCCCTGTGAGCACTAAAAAGGTCATTTTAATCATGTCCATCGTAGATTTGGCCAGGCTAACAATGGGTTCCATCCCTCACTACCGAATCTGGCCGAATCTAAGATGGGCATGATTAAAATGACCTTCTTAGTGCTCACAGGGCGAAAAAATGGGAAAAATCCTCTGTTAGAATTGTTCAAAATATTTACTAAAACTCAGTTCCGGTTAGAAATAATTCTTCTGTAAAGTTAAATTAATAATAACCTAAATTAATATACAAAACATAACAAAAAATAAGTAAAGTAATAATAATAAAAAATTACGCAAAGCATTTAAATGAAATTCTCAGTAATCTGTCAAATTAAATTCTCAGTAAACTGTCTGATGATTTGCTTGCTTAAAAACTATTTTCTCATATTTTTTGTGTCGTTATTGACATTTGTTATTTGTTAAGTTATTATGAAGTAACGTTTTCTTATTGAAAAATATCTTTTTATATGCAAAATATGCAATTGGCAAAATGGTTGCTTAACTATCCACAAATATTTTAATAATTTTAGTGAATTGTATGCCTATATATATATATATATATATATATATATCTACTAACTATAATAATAATTTATTCAAATTAAGAGGGTAGTTTCTTGTATAAGAAAAGATTATATTGAATAGAGTTAAATAAGTAAAGATTCTAAACTATATTCTGAACTATATTCCATAACAATTATTGATCTTTACTGACCATTAAAACAATATCAATTCCTAATTTTTAAAACATTGTATCCAATTTATTTTATCAAATTCATCTAAAATATATATATATGATTTTATCCTAAACGCTAAAATTACTTTTAAAGTGTACGTTACTGTATATGTAATCAGTTTAATAAGTATATATTTTTCTATAAATTTAATCTCACATAAGCTAGATATTAAGGGTGAAAAAAGAACATAAATTTTTTTAAATGGATTTTTTAAAGATTTTAATGACATTGAGATAAATAAATATTTATTTATGATATAATTTCATCGTAACTCTTCATCCGAAGATTAAGTGATCAAGATCATCGAAAGATAGCGGATAAAACAATAAATTAAGCAGAAGGACGAGACCAGTTTTTGTACTTCCTCATTTTTGCCGACGGTTATCTACCTGACCTCACTAGTTAGAGAACAAGCTAGATAAATAATCGGCAATACCACGGCGGATACAGCATTTTAATCCAAATTTCAAAACTTATTGATCCATAAATTTGTCATTTATAAATAGTTCTTATCTTTTATTTATCGTCGCATTTACCAATTATCACTCGCTCGAAATTTGTATAAATACTGTTTTATAGTCCTCTATCTCGCACAATTCATTCGGCATTATGATTGACAAAATCTTAATCCTATTAAGTTGTATTGTATTTTGCGTTGGAACGTGGCACGATCATCGTGTTAAGACCTATCATGGGTAAGTTATTTTATTTATTTATCATTTTTATAAATTAATTTTTAAAAATACCATTTCCATCTCTAAATCCCGGAGAATTTAAATTGTTTTTATAATATTTTATAGTCGAAAATCAGAAAAAATTTCTATTGATTACAACTTGATAAAATGTATACGTTAAAGACATATTTTTATATAATTGTATAGAAAATAAAAATAAATAATTTATTAAATTATTATAGTATTTTAAATATTACTAATTCATATAAAATTATATCAAATGAGCACGATTTATTCTTACTTCTATTAAAATTATTTTTATTTCAAAATATTCGAATATAAATTTACTTTAAAAAATCTTAAGAATTTGTCTACTAATCATTTTCTATGTATGACTTTATTACTATTATTAATACAAAGAAAATGTTTTAAAAATTTATTCTAAAAATTCTGAAAGTTTAAGAATATTCCGTTTATTTTTTTAGTTTCTTTTTTTTAGGAATTTTAAAAATCTAATTTTATGGAGGAAAGACTTTTGTATAAAATAATTTAAAACATTTCTCAAAAATCTGAAAGTTTATAAAAGAAATTTCTGAAATTATAACTTTTAAACGACGGAATTATTAATACTTACAAGTTAGATATAAATTAAACCACTATTTATATAAAACTATTAAAAAATTAGTATTTTATTTAAGAATTATATCGGGAGAATGGCTCCTTTAAAAATAAATATTTCTTTATTCTTTATATAAGTTTACCAATGATCTATATGTGTGTGTGTGTGTGTGTGTGTGTGTGGTAGAAGAATATAGGCCTACAATTGAGTTTTAAAATTTTTATTAGTAACTTTTTCAATATATTGTTATTTTAAGATCATTTATATAGGTCAATATTTTAAAAAAATTTGACTTCTATTAAATAATGACTTTAATTCTTCTCCTTTTTAAATTCTAAATTTGGAAATTTGTCTTACGATTAGCTAAACATACAGTTCTATATACAATCTAATTATAATTTCTGTTAAGTATTTTTTATATATAATATTAATACAATGATAAATGAAGAAACAAAATATCTTTTCACATGCCCTCAAGTTAATTAACTCGAAATTTTTTTTTACAGGTATTAAAAATTCGTTTTTTTATCATAAGGTTATTGTGTAATAACTTATAAATATAGTTTTTTTGTACGGAATTTATTAATTTATTTTAATTAAATTTAGAAAATAACCAAGTAAATTAACATACAAATATGTAAATACCTACCATGGTTGCTATATAAGTTAAATAACTATGTAGTTTACAAGTTGAATGACCTATACGTTTACTTGATAAAAATATAATTAGTCATTTGTATCCCCTATAATTATCATTTTTAATTTCTCTTTACAGAATTCAACGTTTTAAAATAAGAATTATTATCGAGCATTAAAGAATTTCTTTTTAAAAATTCTTTAAGAGTTTCTTTTCAGTTCAATACTTAAAATTCATTTAATTCTTAAGAAATTCGTACTTTTAAAAGAATATCTTTCTTATGCTTTCTATATACATGAATATATTATATGTAATATATACTCTATAAGCAACTTGTAAAACGATTTTCTGTTTTGTTATTATTAATATTAAATTGTTAAATTCCAAGCCATGTGGTCAAATGGATATTCACAAAGCAATGATACACGTTGCATCTTCAAGAGAAATCTTTTAAAAATTTAGGATTTCCACGTAAAAATTTACAAATACAGTAATTGTAATTTTGTATTTGACTACAGCAATTCATTTATTGTATCATAAGATATAATAATTTAAAACACAATAAATGAAAAGATGTAGTCAAATACAAAATTACAATTATTTGTAAATGTTTACATAAAATTCTGAATTTTAAAAAGTATACAATAACGTAAAAAAATAAATATCACAATTGGCATTGTGTACTATATCACAATTGGCATTGTGATGTAATACAATGTAATACACTCGAATTTTATTTATAAACCCATTAAAAGAATGTAGTTACTCCTGTTTTACGATCATAACAAAACTAATTTTTATTAATATATTATGCTTTTTTTCTGTAATTAATTATATGTTCATATTTAATTCAATAAAATTACTTAAAATGAGATTAAACAAAACAAGATTAAATTATAATAATTGAAAGAATTGACGTCATACTTAACTATTTAAAAACATTCGAGGTCATTTAGTACGACTTTTTTAGATATTTTTCTTGCAAGTTCCTTAACATGTTTAACTTATCTACTGAACTTTAGTAAAATAAATAACATAATTTGCATTCTCGCAATATTCATTTTCAAATGCTTAATATACATATCATGTATGTTTTCTAGGAGATTCGCAAAAAATATATAAAACTTAGAAAGAAAATTAAAAATAAACATGATAAGATGTTTCATATAAAAATTTTTTAAAGTATTTATCATTCACGTTAAGAGAAATTTCTATAAATTAATAATAAAATAGCACTACTTTCTATATTTGAATCCGCGTATTTATTTATCTTTTCATTCTTTAAACTTCAAATGAAAGAAGTTTATTCTTTTCTTCAATTTCTTCTTTTGGAAAAATGGCAAAGAAAATCAATATTTTATAATTGCATTTCAGATAATAAAGGTTAAACATGAAAAAGTTCAATTGAGGTTTTAATAATTTAAGGTTAAATAAATAAAGTTGCTGTAAATGAATGTATTTAACTTTGTTTTAGCAGTAAGCATTAGTCTAAAATTATTAAAATTTCAATCGAATATTATTCAATTTCTGTTTATCTGAATTACAATTATAAAAATCTTAATTTTCTTTGCCATATTTTATACTTTTATATTTATAATGAAAGAGTTTCTATATCATTAAAATAAATCCTTATATTAATTACATAATAAAATTTGCGAAAAACTCATAAAAATTCTAAACTATTTCACATTATTTTATTTAATATTTTCAAATAAGCTTTATAATTATATAAAATACGTTTTATAATATATTTAATAAAAAAATCTTCTAAATATTTTAAGGAAAATAAATATCTTTGCAGATATTCTGTCCTTAGACTTACACCTACTAATGAGAAGCAAATGAAGTTTTTGAATCGACTATCGAATAATAGTGATGTAAGCATAATTGCAAAGTAAATATTAATAAATAAATAATTAAACACTATTAATTTTTTTTATTTTGCTTTAAAATTACTATCACGAATCATTCAAAAGTTTTTCTGATAAATCTATTTAACATTATTGCTTATAGAATTATTCTTGAAGATATTAAACTAATTTTTTTCTATTTTGTATATTAAAAACAAATTCTTTTTTAAATTAATTGTTTTAAAATTCTTTTAATAGTATGATTTTTGGCTCGGACCTCATATTAATTCGGCGACGGATATAATGGTTTCTGAATCGAAGAGAAAATATTTGGAAGATGTTTTGAAGTACTATCAGATTCCTTACAAAACAATGATTGAAGATGTACAAAAGTATGTTTTTTTATTAATTATTATTATTAAACGCTTTTATTTAACTTGCTTTGTATGCTCTTCAATCAGACAACTCAAATTTCATCCACTTCTAATTAAGATAGAAGGCTGAAACTTTGAAGACATACCTAAGTTTAATGACAATACATTTTTAATATCTTAGTGACTCATTATCCTCCCACCCAGAAACCAGATAAACATAACCAAATACAGAATTTAATCGTGGGTTTGTGTGTAAATGCATTGTAATAGTGTAGCCCATATGATGAGGATAGCCCACTCCCAATCTCGAAAAAACACGATCAATTAAATATTTTAAAAAATATATTATAATTATTTCATGAATAAAATCATACAAACAAATATTTTATATTTATTTAATTGCTTTCTTTTACGTTCTATTACGTTTATTATTATTAATGCAGACAATTCGGCAGTTTAAATATTATCGTTGTCAAAAGTATCGCTAAGTTAATGGCGAATCACGAGCATTACTCATACTTTCCATTATAACATTAATTTATGATCATTGCGATAACTGTATCATAATCATTCAATTAATGTTATATACTTGAATGCTGTTTTAAATACCTGTTTCGTTTAACAGAGCTTTTACGTAACTCCAAACTAGATTTGTATTCTATATATAACCTTTTACGTAACTCTAGACACGCGTTAAGTGTATTCAAATGTTTTCCTTTTTTTACTGAAATTATTCAGATATTATAATTAATAATTCGATGAGTCAAAATGCTGCTTTTATAACCTACATCATTATTTCCTCCTCCTTGATAGGTAGAACGATACAAGGTTCGTGTATATAGTAACAAGAATATGAAGAATAGCCTTTGTCATATAAAAACAGATATTTTATTCTTCATAAATATTTCTATATTTTATTAAATTTTTATTTGTTCTTGTCAATCTTAGCTTTTTATCCTGATATTAGTGACACGTAGCCGATGTATCGAATTTCTTATTAGTAGGATGTTTTTGCACATCTTAATTAATGGATTCGTAGAACGTCTGTAAGTATATCAATTTTAAGTTGTGGTTTTATTTTTTGCTTTATAAACAAAAATAAAATCATAAAATATTCAACGACCATTAACAGGAAAATAAGTTTTGAAAATCTATGTTATATCAATGCATAGAGTTTTCTTGTCGAATGAAAAGGTATTTGAAGTACTGAACATACATTAAATATTTTGATGCTATTAGCATAACGAAATCTTGAATTTATGTACAGAAATATTAAATAAATTCGAAAATGAAATTAGAAATACCATATAAATAATATAATGTTAAGCATTTTTCACTTTCTTTAATTGAAAAATAACTTGTTTTTCGTTTATTGTTATCATTTTCTCTACACAAATAGGCATTTTAAAGCTCTTTTCAGATTATTAATTCAACAATAACTGGCAACGATTTCCTATTAACAGTCTTAACCAGTGCTTTAAATTTTCATTTGTTTATCAATGAAAACACTTAGAACAAATTTATCACTTTAAAATCAGATAAACTTTTATGCGTGATATTTTTGAATATATTATCCTGAAAATGCGTTTAATATTGATAAGGGCATATACTAGGAAAGATTTCATAAAATAATAAATGTCAATCAAGTTTTATCTAAATTATTATGTATTTTAGATCTATTAATACTATAAAAAATGATATTTGCTTTTTCTATATTGATTGAACCACTTATTTATAACTTTTAATTAATAAAGATTGAGATAAAAATATGATTACATTTATGCAATAAGTTTTATCAGTAATTATATTTTATATACCTATTAATATTGCTTGCTCTGATAAGCATAATTTCTATTATAGATATGATTATCAATAGCAGACTGCGTATTGTACATTAATTGACTCTCAAATTTGATATTATAAAAAGCAATTTTTAAAAGAATAAATCATAATTAATTGTATGAGTTATTTGCATATTATAAAACTATTATTATTTTTTAATTGTACAGTACATAAAAAATATATCTTAAATTACATCGTGTAACAAGTTTAATTTATTTTTTATTCTTGACTAGGAAAAGTTGTGTATGTAAAAAGTATAGAAAATTATTAATATTCTCCTCAAATTTTGTTTTTATGATCAGGACAGTGATATTCCGACCTATTTCCAATAAAAAAAAAATCGGACCAATTTGGATTTTTCGTTTACTTAAAGTGATAGAAAATAACATATTTTTGGCATTTATCATTATACTGTAAATAACTTTTATGAATTAGCCTGCTAAAGAATTAAATGTTCTCGTTACATTGCTCTTGGTAGTGACGTTCAAAATCCAGTATGTCTATATCCTGGTAGAAGGATTCGCCTTAATCCGAGTACTCTTCCATGTTTTCCTTGAACTTATCGAGATGGGCATTAAGGAAATTAAGGGATATCCTGCAGCCCATTTTTTCATAGTTTTTTAGTCTCAACCACTTATTAGACCGAAAACTGCGTGGCGTCAGACTAACACCACGTAGTTTTTTCTTTTGACTGGCCAGGAAGCCCAGAACTTCTGTGAAAAAATTTTTCTCTTTCTCTGGAGTGAACTTCTTGGGGAATTCCTTATACTTCTTTGTGGTCCTTTAAAGATACCGGCTTTCACCTTTGCAGCAGATAGTGAAAAGTGTTGAAGGTACTGTAATTCGTGGAAACACATTTTTGATCTAATCTAATCTTGATAAATTGGCTGTAGATTTAGCAAAATGCGTCAGCTCTTAATAACCATTTTTAAAATCATATTTTATGCAGATATGTATTACACATAGCTGGAACTAAGCTGAACTGGTTAGCTCTTGTCCTTTGTATTTATACTGCTGCTTTATGTTAATGGAACCTTCTAGAGCAGTGATGGGCAAACTTTTTAAAGAGCGGGCCAAAGGAAAAGAAGAAAACTTTAGGCAGGCCAATATAATTGTAACCTAGCGCTGCATCTGAAAATCCAGGTGGCGCTATAAAAACATGTGCAGGCCGTCCGCCATATTTTTTTTCTCTCTTTCGGCTACGCTACGCACGACGAGTGGATGTTCTGTACCGAAGCATNATATTTAAACACGGGAGGAGGAATGAGCAAATAGTGCTATCATATCAATATACATGCACCTGAGGATAGTATAATGTGTGTTAAAATAAAAAGTGGTATGCACAAAACTAAAAAAGTATATAATAAAAGGTGTAAATTATGAAAAATTAACGGAATACCTGTAGGATGTGACAAATACAGAAGAGATGTGTAGAGAACAGGCCTGATGGGAGATGTTACCAAGAAGTGAGTGATCCTTGTAACATATACAGAGGTAAAGTGTTCCTGATATGTTCCTGTATTAAAGTGTTCCTGTATGATACGTTCTCAACAGCAACATTGTGCTAACATAATGTTCTTTATTTAATTTTCCATATCTAAAGAATCAAGTTAATACAATCAAACAATCAACAAATTAGTTGATAGAATCAATCATTAACCAATTAAAAAACATACAAAAAATCAGACGGTTTAAAATATTAATACAATTAGGGAAATTATTATATNCAATGATTGAAGATGTACAAAAGTATGTTTTTTTATTAATTATTATTATTAAACGCTTTTATTTAACTTGCTTTGTATGCTCTTCAATCAGACAACTCAAATTTCATCCACTTCTAATTAAGATAGAAGGCTGAAACTTTGAAGACATACCTAAGTTTAATGACAATACATTTTTAATATCTTAGTGACTCATTATCCTCCCACCCAGAAACCAGATAAACATAACCAAATACAGAATTTAATCGTGGGTTTGTGTGTAAATGCATTGTAATAGTGTAGCCCATATGATGAGGATAGCCCACTCCCAATCTCGAAAAAACACGATCAATTAAATATTTTAAAAAATATATTATAATTATTTCATGAATAAAATCATACAAACAAATATTTTATATTTATTTAATTGCTTTCTTTTACGTTCTATTACGTTTATTATTATTAATGCAGACAATTCGGCAGTTTAAATATTATCGTTGTCAAAAGTATCGCTAAGTTAATGGCGAATCACGAGCATTACTCATACTTTCCATTATAACATTAATTTATGATCATTGCGATAACTGTATCATAATCATTCAATTAATGTTATATACTTGAATGCTGTTTTAAATACCTGTTTCGTTTAACAGAGCTTTTACGTAACTCCAAACTAGATTTGTATTCTATATATAACCTTTTACGTAACTCTAGACACGCGTTAAGTGTATTCAAATGTTTTCCTTTTTTTACTGAAATTATTCAGATATTATAATTAATAATTCGATGAGTCAAAATGCTGCTTTTATAACCTACATCATTATTTCCTCCTCCTTGATAGGTAGAACGATACAAGGTTCGTGTATATAGTAACAAGAATATGAAGAATAGCCTTTGTCATATAAAAACAGATATTTTATTCTTCATAAATATTTCTATATTTTATTAAATTTTTATTTGTTCTTGTCAATCTTAGCTTTTTATCCTGATATTAGTGACACGTAGCCGATGTATCGAATTTCTTATTAGTAGGATGTTTTTGCACATCTTAATTAATGGATTCGTAGAACGTCTGTAAGTATATCAATTTTAAGTTGTGGTTTTATTTTTTGCTTTATAAACAAAAATAAAATCATAAAATATTCAACGACCATTAACAGGAAAATAAGTTTTGAAAATCTATAAATCTATGTTATATCAATGCATAGAGTTTTCTTGTCGAATGAAAAGGTATTTGAAGTACTGAACATACATTAAATATTTTGATGCTATTAGCATAACGAAATCTTGAATTTATGTACAGAAATATTAAATAAATTCGAAAATGAAATTAGAAATACCATATAAATAATATAATGTTAAGCATTTTTCACTTTCTTTAATTGAAAAATAACTTGTTTTTCGTTTATTGTTATCATTTTCTCTACACAAATAGGCATTTTAAAGCTCTTTTCAGATTATTAATTCAACAAT